CTACAAAGCCATCACTCTGCCAAGCTGCCTACTCATTATCCAACCAACCCTGGCTGAGCTTTCAAAAAATGTTCCTAGTTTTTGAGACTGAGTAGGAAAGGTGTTGGGACAAGATGTGCCTGAATAGACACTTCAGTTGTGCTAGAGCCAGTAGATAGCCCATCTGAAAATCTAGTCTTTAGGATGACAGAATCATGACTTCCCTGCCTGTCTTTCTGTTGCTTCTAGAATAATTACAGGTTTTTCTTTAACATGTTTGCTCATACTGAAAATAAGGGTAGTTGTTTTCCTTGGTAAAGAAAAGAACACGTTTACTGTCAGAACTGCTGATGCATATAAAAACGGCCAAGATGTTCCAAAGCACCAGAAGCTGTCTGAGAAGGGCCAGCCCTGTGCTGTAGTTCACTGAGTGCAGGACCTTGGTCTATTCACTTCTGCTCTTATTTCTGGTCTGTGAAGTTGGAAATAGCTTTACACCATTGGATTTTGGTAAGATAAGAGTTAATAGCCAGAAGGTTCCAAGAAATGACCCAGAGATAGTTGGCATTTTAATAATGATCTCCTGGCCTTCCTTTCTGAGCCGTGTGTGCATGTGTTAAGGTGTATGCTACTGTGACTATATTAATGAAAAGACATTTTAAAACCAGCTGTGTGTTTTTGTCAATTGATGTATCTTGATCGCCTATCCTTATCTCTAAATAACTTCCACCATTGCCTGACAGCTGCCTACAATCTAGGATGAGCAAGCATACCTGGGATTGAATCTGTGTTGTTGCAGATGTGTGTGTGTGAGGTGGAGGCGCAACAGGCACACACTTCTAGTCTCTCGTTAACATAGACATTTTAAAACAAGCATGTGATAACCGGGCAGTGGTGGCACATGCCTTTAGTCTCAGCACTCAGGAGGCAGAGGCAGGCGGATCTCTGTGAGTTTGAGGTCAGTTTGAGCTACAGAGCAAGTTACAGGCCAGCCAGCCAGGACTGTTCCATAGAGAAACCCTGTCTAGAAAAACAAGAACAAACAAACAAAAAACAAGTATGTGAAATATTGTCCCTTTGGGTGATATGGACTCTCCTCCTTTCCGGGGCATTCCTAACCCTCACTCCCTGTATGATAAGGATCAGGAAGGGTTCCTTTAGGAGCTTAAAGCCTGGCTTGATTCCCTGTGGTTGTGCATGAATTTAGATGCCAGCACTCAGTGGGGGAAACTAGATCCTGTTTCCCTTTAAAGTTAGAGAAACCACTGTGTTTGATCTGATCTCTGGGTGCACAGAAAGTCACCAATCAGAGCTCCTCTGATTCTGGCCTTCCAAGAACCTGCCATTTAAAGGGTTCAGAGATAGAGCTGCACCCTTGCTTCCCAGGCTGGACTGCCATGCTCCACCTTCAGGGAGGTGGGCTGTAGTCATTGGCCTTTAGTTTGGGAGTCTCTGGTGATGCACTTGCTGACACATTTTTTTTTTCTTGCTGCATTCAGACTGTTAGAAAACATTGATCCTTCTCTGTTTAAGCCCCTCCCCTACTAGCAAACCAGTAAGCCACATTTGCAAACCTCCTCTTGTCTCTCCACTCCACACCTTCAGGTACATTGTATGTGCAGATTCTAGGGATTTACTTGTCCATTCAGTCCAACTGTCAGAGGGTAAAGAGTGCTGTACAGTGTGACCTGGGACTGAAATCCCATATGAAATATGCTTCTGAGAAGCTTCATGGCTGTAGTAATATCCCTTTCTTCCTATCATAAACCATCAGTTTGAGACTTGACAGCTTGCTTGACCTTCTGAAGGAACACACCTGTCCTGAGGATACTGTTGACTGAGTTCAGACACAGTAGCTTCCTCAAGATATTTGAGGGAAGGTGCTCAGTCTTTACACTCTCATCATTATTGAGGAAGATCTAAGATCCTGTAGGGGTGCTGTGTCTACCAAAATTATAGAGCAGCCGCTGTGGCTTTGGAGGTATGCTTACACACAGAGGAACAATGCATGTATTTCCCTGCAGCAGCTGCATGCTTGAGAGGTGTGCTGAGATGCAGAGGAACAATGCATATATTTCCCTGCAGCAGCTGCATGCTTGAGAGGTGTGCTGAGATGCAGAGAATAATGCATGTATTTCCCTGCAGCAGTTGCTGTGTCCTTGAGAGGTGTGCTGAAATGCAGAGGAATAATGCATGCATTTCCCTGCAGCAGCTGCTGTGTCCTTGAGAGGTGTGCTGAGATGCAGAGGAATAATGCATGCATTTCCCTGCAGCAGCTGCTGTGTCCTTGAGAGGTGTGCTGAGATGCAGAGGAATAATGCATGCATTTCCCTGCAGCAGCTGCTGTGTCCTTGAGAGGTGTGCTGAGATGCAGAGCAGCACTGAAGCTCATAGCACAATGGCTCTCTCCAGTGTTTTCCAAAGTGCTTTTTAATTAGTTTCCTTGGGACACCCTCCCTGTGAGAAAGGTTAAGTAGCAATTCCCTCTTTCCAGTGGTGACTCTGAAATCATGAGAGGTTAATTGACTTGCCTTGGGCCTGCCTGACATAGTGGAAGGATTTCCTCGACCCATCACTCCTGCTTTTCATACCAAAACCAGGGCTGCCTCAGGGAGGGCCTTGATTAAGGAGGAAAGGATGGAATATCCTTGCTCGCCATACCCAATACCTTTTATTTTCCTCTTTATATTTTATTCCCCCCCTTTTTTTTTTATGAGACAGGGTCTCTCATGTAGCCCAGCTGCCCTCTGACTCACTGTATGAACTTCTGATCCTCCTTCCTGCCTCCACCTCCTGGGTCCTGGCATCACAGTGACACATGGACATGTCTGGGTTTATGTGCCTGGGACTCCATAAACTGTATGCGTCCCATCTCCAGCCACTACTTCCCACCCACCTTCTTCCGATGCAAGGAATCCAGTCTAGCAGCTTTGTTTCTGTGTCCTGTTTAGGATTGCTGAGACAGTGCCTGAAGTGGTGTCCTTCAAATCACAGACCTGGATCCGTGACCTGGATGTGGCTTTGCTTCCTTGAATTAAGCTGCAAGCATGATGGATAGCAGAAAGAAATTATTATTGGCTCAAGTGCCCAGTCCTGACAGGGGCCCTTTGTGTTTGAGATGCAAACCTGACATTCACAGAGGGCTTCAAAATCTAATGTTTTCTCACTGTAATTCATGTGTTGGGTTTGTTGGTAGAAATTCTGCCAAGTTGTCACTGATACACATTTCTTTTAAAGTTGGTCTATAACTGACACATTGCAATGTATTTAGTTAAGACTGTGGAGATGGTCTCTAACACAGCAGGCCCTAGCATCTCTTCCTCTTGCTTCCAACAAACTTGCCACAGGTCTGACTCATCTTGGCTTACTTCTTTTAGAGGTATAGCAGCTCCTGTCCACAAAGCCAGGCTGAGTGTGCCTTTGGAGACACAGTCTTAGATAAGAAGTTGCCATATTGATGTTTGTTAGTCTTGTGGACTGAGTGTATTTTCCTTCTGGCTCCATAAAGGCCCTCCAATAATTAGCTAAATACTTGTGAGAATGTTACAGGGTTGTGTAGGGCAGGCTTCACGAAAGGGAGGAAAACACAGGAGTTTGAGACAGCAAAATTGGCTTCCTGTCTATACTAGAGTTTTCATAGACTAGGGAGAATTGTTACTAAGGCTTTTCTTTTTAGCTTTACATTTTTTTTCAGCTGTAAAAGTACTTTTTGTTGTTGTTATTTTTGTTTTTGTTTCCTCCTCCTTCTCTGGGGACAGTGCTTAGAAGTATCCACTGTGGACAGATGTTTCTGTCTCCTCACCCTACCAATCCCCCATCTCCCCCACCCCCACCCCCGTTCTGCAGCCCTTCAGTCCCAAATAAACACACAGAGATGTATATTAATCATAAACTGTTTGGCCTATGGCTCAGGCTTCTTACTGGCTAGCTCTCTCTTATTAACCTATTTCTATTAATCTACATATCTCCTCAAGGTCTTGGCTTACCAGTGATGTCTGAGTCTCTTGCTTCTTCATTCTGTGTTCTTCTTCCCAGAATTCTCCTAGACTGATAGCCCTGCCTGTACTTCCTACCTGCCTATACCCTGCCTGTCCATTGGCTGAAACAACTTTATCCATCAACCAATAAGAGAAACACACATTCACAGCATACAGAAGGATATCCCTCATCAACCCAGAGTGGTCTAGAGTTTAATATGCCATCATAGCCTTTTCTACCCCAAACCCGTGACAAAAGAATTGCTTACCTTTGTACCAAGGAGGTTGCAAAAACACTCAGTGTTTGCTTAAGTGGACAGGACCTGTGGTGATTCCATGTGTGCCAAATGTGCCAGCAGTGGATCAAGATTGCTTTCCTTGTGGTGAGATTGTGGTGAAGGCATGAGCATACAGTCAGGAAGCAAGATAAACATGAAAGGCTTTTAAACAATGAAAAGAGAAATGTCACAGTTCTAGAATCCCAGCCACTCAGGAGACTGATGCAGACGATGGAAAGTTCAAGACCTACCGAGGTTATAGAATCAGTTCAAGGCCAGCCTGGGTAACTTAGCAAGACCTTGTTCCAAAATAACAACTAAGTAGCCAGAGATATAGCCCAGTGGTAGAGTGCTTTCCATCCCAGATACAATCCCCTGCACTGCAGAAATAAATAAAGTAAAAGTGGGGGGGGGAGAGCAGTGCTTACTTCAATGTTATCAACTTACACCCACACACATACTTCAAAGACACTTCAAAGACTGACCTGATCTAGTTTTGGCCCCATGAGTGTTGGCATGTGGTCTCAGGATGTGGCCCTGTTCCTCCTCCACCCAAATGCCCCCCCAGCTGTTTATCCTAAGCGTATGTATGGTGGGAAGTTAGTAGATTTGTTATTGGGGCTTGTAGCACTAAGCTGTTTCACTGGATGGGGGAAATCAAGACCCCATGTAGTGAAGGGTTGGATCCAGGCTGATGTAACCTTTTTTTCTCCATGTTTTGTCTGAGCAGGGATCCTTGGTTACTTCCTTTGCCCTTTTCTTAAAGCTGGATGGAACAGAAAGATAATCAGGGTGTGAGTGGACACCAGGATCCTGCAGACAGAGATATGGGTTCTGACTTTGACAACTCCGAGGACAGAGAAGGGGACCCAGAAGAAAGAGGAATGGGCTCCAATCCACAGGACATGCAGGAGAGGGGCCACCTGGAGCAGGAGATGGACTCTGACCCCCAGGATGACCATCTAAGAGTGAACTCACAAGAGAGGCAGATAGTGTCCACTGTGTGTCCAGGTAAGCGGAGCCGAGCATCCATGGAAGTTACCCCATTCACGTTTGCATTTGGTCCCTCTGGCATACAGCCAGGGCCGGCATCTTGGGGGCCAATAGGGCGGGCACTCTAGAGACCACTGAGCAGGGTTCTCAAGCGACTTGGCTCTCCTAATGTTGGCCCTCTAACCACCTTTTTCTTTAATGCCATCTGCCATTGAGGCCACGCTGGTAAGTATGAGTAAAGGGCCACTCATGGGTCTTGCCTTTGCTATGGATGACTACTTGTGACAACACTACAGTGGAATCACTGGCAATACTGGGGCCTAACTCACAGGTGTTGGGGGAATGACATTACCTGTTGGATTTAAAGAGTGACAAGGAGCCTAGAGAGACGGCTCAGTGGCTAAGAGCACCTGAGTTTGGTTTTAGCATCCATATTAATCAGCTCACAAGCACCTGGAATCAGCTCCAGGGGATCCAGGGTCCTCTTCTGGTCTCTGCAGGCTCCTGCATGAATGTTGTACATACACACTCACATATACACATAATAGATGAATATATGTTTTTTAAAATTTTTCAAAAAGTGACAGCATAGTGCTGGGCAAAGTGTATTGATATTTCTAGGTAAGCCATCATTTCCTTCTCTAGATAAGCAAATGCAGTGGTTAAGTGATCCACCTGTGTTCATGAGGCTGGCTACCCAAGTGCCTAAGTTCCTGGTTACCACCCCTTCAGGTCAGCTATTTCTGACCTGAAAGCAAATCCTAGGTTTCTAGCCACTTCCTTGTTTCTGTCTTTGGACATTGGTTGCTTTGTGCTGTTTAGGGTAAACAGCAGGGACTGAAAGCTGAACCACTCTATGGCCAGGACTGTGGTTACATTCCTTTCCCTATGACAAAGTCCCAGATGCTCCACTGCCCTCCTCCACAGTGCATATAAGCATGTGGCCTTCACATTCCAGTAACTTCCTTGAGAGCTCTTTGCTTGAGGAGGAAATAGCCAGAGAAAGACAGGTATATATTCTCTACCAGTTTATAACTTGGTCTTAGCAATTCTTGGCTGTCTGTCATCCCTTACCCATCTCCCAGTTCTGAGCTCAGTTTGCTAATAGACATGACAAACCTGTTGCTGAGGACAGCTGTGAATGCCCAACACAACATTGTAAATGTAATTAAAATTCCAGGAGTGTGTGTGTGTGTGTGTGTGTGTGTGTGTGTGTGCGCGCGTGCGTGTGCACACACACATTTGTGGGTTGTTACATGTGTCAGCCAGAGGTTCACCTCAGGCATTGTTTCCTTAGGAGCCATCTGACTTGAATTTTGAGATGGGGGTCTTTTTGGCCTAGAGCTCACTAAGATAGGCTAGGCTGGTTGGCCAGCAAGCCCCAGGGAGATCTGCCTGTATCTGCCTTCCCACTAGAATTGCAAGCATCCCACTTGGCTTTTGGGAGTGGGCTATCAAAATCAGGTCCTCATGCTTGCACAGCTGTTTAGAGATAAATTATCTCTCCTGAGTTTTTCCCGTTTAAGACTTGACTGCTTCTTGGGCACAGATTTTTGTAGACCGTAACACGGTGTTGCAATGTCAAAGGTTGGATATGCTCTCAAGCTATTCCAGATTGATCCAATGGTTTTGTTTTTGTTTTAAAATCAGTTCTGGACCCGATGCCTCTAAGTGGTCTCTTTTACTTTTCATGATCAGCTTGACTTGTGCTTTGAGGCTCCAGTTTTACAGAGTAAGGTTGAGCAAATAACATTTGTTCCCTTCCTTTTCTGGAGACAACTCCATCTCCTTCCTTTTCTGGAGACAAGTCCATCTCCTGAGTCCCTGTCTGGTACAAAACTGGCCATCTGCGGACTTCTAGTGGTTCGGTTAGGAGCTTGGGGTATATAGTAGATGGGGTCTGCCAAAAGCCTGGTTAGCAATGGGACAGAATGCACTGTCCTTTGGGTCTTACCTGGAGGAAACTAGTGGGAAAGAGGCTAGAGTATAATAAGGAGGCTGGGGAACTGGGGTGGAGTGGTGTTTGGGAGTACTTGGGAGGGCTATTACTCCTTTGACTCAACAATCTTTGAAGAGCAGTTCTCCTAGAATACCTTTGTATACCAGGTCTAATTGACTCCCATTGCCAACTTGTCTGTTGCAGAAGGTCTTCTGAGTGAGGAAGAAGGGACTGTCCTTCGTGAGGAAGAGGATGACCAGTCTGGTGTGGCTGACATGGTACTGTTCCCAGGCCTGTCAGAATCTGACAGTATATCCCGGAGTCCCCGGGGAGAGGAAGAGGAGGAGGAAGAGGAAGAAGAGGAAAGTGCTGGGGAGAACCGGCTGATGGAGGAGGAAGAGCAGTTACCTCCCCCGGTGCTTCCCTGGAGGCGTCACCTCTCTCTGGGAGGTGCACACCGCGGTGACAAACCCGCCCACCGCCGCTTCCACCGGCTCCATCACCCCATGGCCATGGACCTCGGGGAACTCGACAGCCTGATGGCCAGCATCATGGACGCGCCCACCATCTGCCCGGACTGCGGGGAGAGCTTCAGCCCGGGCGCTGCCTTCCTGCAGCACCAGCGCATCCACCGCCTGGCTGAGGCCGCCGCGGTGGCCAGCCTAGAGCCCTTTGGTTTGGCGACCGAGTGCGGAGGGGTGGTGGGGATGATGGGCATGGGCGTGGCCGGCGGCTTTGGGGCGGGGCCCGCGCTGGCCCGCCCCCCTCGCGAAAAGCCCTTCCGCTGCGGGGAGTGCGGCAAAGGCTTCAGCCGCAACACCTACCTGACCAACCACCTGCGGCTGCACACGGGCGAGCGGCCCAACCTGTGCGCGGACTGCGGCAAGAGCTTCAGCTGGCGCGCCGACCTGCTCAAGCACCAGCGCTTGCACACGGGCGAGAAGCCCTACCCGTGCCCGGAGTGCGGCGAAGCTTTCAGCCTCAGCTCGCACTTGCTCAGTCACCGGCGCGCGCACGCGGCGGCCAGCGGGGCGGGCTCGGCGGCGCTGCGGCCTTTCGCGTGCGGGGAGTGCGGCAAGGGGTTCGTGCGCCGCTCGCACCTGGCCAACCACCAGCGCATCCACACGGGCGAGAAGCCGCACGGCTGCGCCGAGTGCGGCAAGCGTTTCAGCTGGCGCTCGGACCTGGTGAAGCACCAGCGCGTGCACACCGGCGAGAAGCCCTACATGTGCTCCGAGTGCGGCGAGACCTTCAGCGTGAGCTCGCACCTCTTCACGCACAAGCGCACGCACTCGGGCGAGCGGCCCTACGTGTGCCGCGAGTGCGGCAAGGGCTTCGGCCGCAACTCGCACCTCGTCAACCACCTGCGCGTGCACACGGGCGAGAAGCCCTTCCGCTGCGGCCAGTGCGACAAGCGCTTCAGCGACTTCTCCACGCTCACGCAGCACCAGCGTACGCACACGGGCGAGAAGCCCTACACGTGCATCGAGTGCGGCAAGAGCTTCATCCAGAGCTCCCACCTCATCCGCCACCGCCGCATCCACACCGGCAACAAGCCCCACAAGTGCGCGGGCTGCGGCAAGGGCTTCCGCTACAAGACGCACCTTGCACAGCATCAAAAGTTGCACCTGTGCTAGGGCGGGGGTCCGAATGAGGCATCGCTGGAAGTAGACTTGGTTACTGATCCTGTAGATGTGGGGGAAGGGGCGGGAGTGTCTGGGGGAGCTTTTTAATGCTTGGTGGCTCCCAAGAGGACGGTTGATAGATGTTATTTCGAGGTGCTTAACCTCCTCCATGGAAGTAACTCTTGGGAGAGGTGCTTGAGTTGATGGCTTACTTAAGTACACACTGTAAAGAGTGAGGAGTTTGGATGAACAGAAGCTTGGAGGACCCCCAAGGAAGGGGATTTGGGACTGGGCAGAGAGGGGCTGGGCTACCATGCTTTTGGGAACCAGGAAGGTGGTTTAGAGTCATGGGGGTACAATCAGACGCGGGTAGGAATAAGTTTGTGACACCTCTCATACTAGCTTTAGTCAGACCCTTCCCATCCCTATAGAAAAGGGTGCTTGGTATCCACTTCCCTTCCTATGAGCCATAGTTAGCTGCTATTTTGAGGCACCCAGGGGAGATTGAGCAGAAAACCTGCATAGTTACTTCAAGGGGCCACCTTGGGTTCAGAAATCCACCAACAACGGACTCCCTGGTTTCTCAGAAAATCCTGCACTTGGTTCTTCATGTTGGATCAGGGTTGCCCATCGTAAGTCAGGACTTGCCCAGTTTTAGTACAGAGTACCTTAGGTTTCAGGAGAACTGAAGACTTCGACAGCTGCCCGAGAAACCTGTTCCTGAAAGTCAGCCAGCTTAGCTTTGCTGGCTCATGTGGAAGATGCAAGAAAGCTGAGCTCACGGGATGGCATGCCTTCATTTGCATGTGTGTATCCTGAACCCGCACAAATTAATGAGGGATCTAATCCAGACAGGGGTTTCCCCCTCTCCCTCCACACATGAGAGGCACAGATTTACACATGGAGGGTACAGTTAGGGGGAGGTGGGAATGCAAAATTGCCAAATAGCACAAACAATGTTTTCTAGTTACACAGATGCTAAAATAGCACTTTTGTAATTACAAAGTGTTTTATGCTTTCTAATGATTGCTAGTATTTCTCACATGCTCATGAGGTAAATCAGTATTACAAGCTATGTCTTGGGGATAGGTCTGGAGTAAAAGTGTGGCAAGCCTCTTGAAGGAAGGCTGAGGACCTTGGATGTTGGAGGCTGACCTTTTGTGTTCTCCAGCTCGCTTGCTAGGATGAGTTACATTCTCATTTATATAATACAATAAGAATACTGAGCATTCTTGTGCTTGATGGAAGACATAAAGCCTAGAAGGACCAAAGATGTCCTTATTGACAAAGCTGGTCTTTGTCACCTGATTCTAGTGTCCTCACTATGTTCTATTTCTAGTAGGGGGCCGTAGTCAAATGACATGTAGATTTTGGTTACACTGCAAATCCCTCCTCTAGATTAGCCTGTAGAAGTTAGTGTTGTAGCAAGCAGTGGTTTTCCTCGCTGACACTTGTTACCCTAGACTGTCATGGGAGTCTGAAACTGTTGGACACAGTTGAAGGGGGGAAACCTACGGTTGTTTTTACGGTTTTAGTGAAGTTTCTGTGAATGCTAGTGATTTATACTTGATCATTTGTATTTTAGTAATGATCTTTGGGGGCTGTAGGAAAGCATGTTTTTTTTTTTTTTTTTTTTTTTGACATTCTAAGAACACTTAAAAAATCTGAACAACATCCGGGCTTGTATATCGTCTGCTGATTTGTCCACCAAATCTGTTTATTGTTCACAGATGGAAATAGACACTCACACCAGGGATAGTTTTGTAAAACTGTAATTCTCTTCCAGTTACATGTGCAGAGTCTATGCCCACTATTTATTCCGACTCTTGCAGTCTGAATGCCACATCTATGAGATCTATTTAAAACAATACAGCCAATTTGTAAGTAAGCTTTAATTCCTTTTTTTTTTTTTTTTCTATTTTGAGACAGGGTCTCTCTACATAGCCCTGGCTGTCCTGGAACTCACAGGCTAGTTGTGGATTCACAGAGATCCCCTTGCCTCTACCCCCCCAACTGCTGGGATTACAGATGAGTGCCACTATGACTGGCTTATTATTGTTATTTTTTTTATATATACACATCTACCTCTTCTGGCTGTTTTATGTTCTCTCAAGTGTGTGGCAGTGACATCTCACCCCACTTTTGATTCTTCATACATATTTTTAGCCACTTTAGGGGCTCTTTTTTCTTTTTTTGCCTTTTGTCGTTAGCATCACACACAGCACAGCCATTATCAAATGTGTTACATAGCAGCAGCTTTAGTGAGCTGGCTCAGTGGGGAGTGGGTATGCAAGCTGGTGTGAAGTAATGGCAGTAGACATCTTTGGACCTCTGTTCTTTCTATTGCTACAGGTCAGAGAATCAGTCAGCTACTGTGTTAGTACCTTCGCCCAGTGAACTCCTCAGCAGGAGAAGCTGTTCAGCAAGCAATGCACTGCTCTAGTGGCGTATTTAAAATGTGATTCCGTTTCTCTCACATCTTCAGGGAACATGCCTGCTCGAAGTAAGCCAGAGTCCATGCACCCAGTTGGTTATCTCTCGTCTTCCGTCTTAGAATAATATTGTTCCTTCAGGATACCCTGGTGACTGTGGTTCATGCTCGAGATGTTAAGAGATCCCTCTCCAACTCATTACTGATGTCAGAGGCCTTTGTACTGTTTATTTCCTGGGGCATTTGGTCAAAAGCTGGTTTATGGAGGAATATAAGCAGTTCCCCCTTTAAGCCACGTGTCCTCTTTACAGTCCAGAGGCTGTATATATATATATGTGAAAAGTAAAAATTGAAAAATCAAAACTGTTTATAGACAATCTGAACTGTGTTTCTGAAGTTTGTGCCACTTTTCGTTGTTGTGCTAATTTACATCTGTTTGTTAAAGTAGTAAGTTAACGATCCTAATAGTACCCGATTCTGTGTGAGTGTGCTTGTGGATGTGAGAACAGCCTTCTTTTCAGGCTGTTTTTACTTAATGATGGTTCCTTGGACAGCTTCTTGGTGTTCAACAACAAATATGTGATATTTGTCATTAAATTCCTATCAGTCTTTTATCATTCTTCCTTATTCGTGTCTCACACATGACTCTTTGTAAATGAAATTTTATTGGGACGCAGTTACACCCCATGAAGCCATGCTTGCAAACTGTCTACACTGAGTAATTGTGACAGAAACCAGATGGGCCACAATCCTAAAATACCAATGTATCTTTACGAGGGGGTGTAGTGGGTACTGGACAAGAGGCTGCTACAGAGTGAGTTCTAGTATGAGGTCAACTTGACCTGTGGAGTAAGACACTGATTCAGAATTGTTTTCTTTTAATATGTATACGTACACACACACACACACACACACACGTCCTAGTTTGCTTTCTATGGCTGTGACAAAACACCATGAACAGAAACAAGTCGGGGAGGAAAGGGTTTACCTGACTCCTTGCAATCAGTCCTTCATGAAAGGAGGTCAGGGCAGGAGCCTAGAGGCAGGAGTTGATGCAGAGGCCATGGAGGAGCATGGCTTACTGGCTTGCTCCCTGTGGCTTGCCCTGCTTGTCCTGGATTGCTTTGTAACTCAGGATCACCTGCCCTAGGGTGATGCCAACCACAGTGGGTTGTTCCCTCTCCCCATCAATCGTCAGGAAAATGCTTCACGGTCTTGCCCGTTGGCCAGTCTTGTGGAGGCATTTTTCTCAGTCAAGGTTCTGTTTGTGGTGATATATTGTTTATGGTTTATTAAAGCTTGCCTGAGGGTTCAGAAATCAAAGTCTGCACAGGCCATGGAAACCAGGCACACACCTTTAATCCCATCAGTCAGAAACTAGGAGGTGGTGGTACACACCTTTAATCCTAGGACTCAGGATTAACAGGTAGACAGATCTCTGTGAGTTCAAGGCCCCACATCTACATAACACTGAATCAATCTAAAAGAGAATTACAGTTCCAACATTAGGGAAGTATATAAGACAGAAGCAGGGTCTCAGAGAGGCATTCATTCTCAAGCCATGCTGAAGAGAGGTTACAATCTGAGGCTTGGTGAGAGCTGGTGGAGCTAAGATCAGCTCTTTCAGGCTGATGTAGAGGTAAGAAGCTGGTGGCCAGCCGTTTTGCTTTTCTGATACTCAGATTGAAGCTTGAACCCCAATATCAGTCTCTTGGTCATTCATGTTACATCAGTCTTTCCAGATGACTCATCTTGTGTCAAATTGAAATAACCTAACCATCACAATTGACCCCTTGTTCTGGACACAGATACACCATTCTTAAACCAATGTTGTTCCTCTTGTTTGTCACCAAGATCTTTGTTCATGCCATAATATAAAACAGTATAACTTTAAAAGTCCCACCATCTTTAAGATATTCAAACACTTGGAAATCTTTCGCTTTTTACAACATCCAAAGCCTCTCAACTGTGGGCTCCTGTAAAATAAAAATAATAATAATAAAAAAGGAATGTGCTTTCTTATTCCAAAGGGAAGACTCAGGGCACAGTTTGAATTAGATCAAGGCAAATCCCAAATCCACCAGCATGGAACTCACTCATGGTCTTCTGGTCTCCAAAGAGCTTGGGCTTATGCACATACACGATTGCTGAAGTTGCGGAGTCCTGCACTGGAGCATTGGGTGGATCTCAGATCATCCTGGAACTGGTTAATGGCTGAAGTCGAAATAGTTTGCAGCACAGTGAGGCTAGCGTGGCTCTGGAAGAATAGGCATGTTTTCAGATTGTTCATCTATGTTCTCCATTCCCAGAGAATGTGGGGATGGGAGATTCAAACAAATTAGTTATCAAGAAGGGAAGAGATGATAATAGGTGTTCCTGAATCTCGTGATAAAATTTCTTTTGCCTTGGTTCTCAGCAATTCAAATTAATGATTGCTGATAATACCCAAGGGACCTCACCAGCTAGATTGAACTTTTGCTAAAATGTCTTAGCTCAGTGGTTCTCAATCTGTGGGTCATGACCCCATTGGCGGTTGAATGACCCTTTCACAAGGGTCATCTACAAACATCAGTAAGCACAGATATTTATGATCCCTAACAGTAGCAAAATTACAGCTATGAAGTAGCAAAGAAAGTAGTTTTTCGGTTGGGGATCACCACAACATGAGGAACTGTATTAAAGTGTGCATCATTAGGAAGGCTGAGACCCACCCTCCCCCCACCTTAGCTAGTCTGGGTCTAGCCAGATGAAAACACTAACTCAGCAGCTACCAGGGAAGAGAGCTTGAAGGCAGAAATAGAATTGTGAGAATTTATTACCTTATCTTTTAATGTTCACAGTGACCTCCTTGTGTAGATGACCCAGAGTTCTTTCTCTGCTCAACAGGCCATGGGAAGGAAGGCAAAGAGGAGGCCAAGAGAGCGGTTTGAAGCATTAGCCAGGACAGCTACTGGTCTTACAAGCATCTGAGGAAAATGAAATCAAATCCTGAGCTTTAGCATGGGTGTGCCTAGTAAAGGATGACTGAACACTTCTCAGATGCTTCTGGCCTCCAGCTCCCAAGTGCCGGGATTACAGCTATATACTGTCACATCAGGTTTCATGCACTGCTGGTGTTAGAACCCAGGATTTCATGTAGGTTAAATGAGCACTGCACCAACTGAACTACATCCCCAACCCACAGCAGGGCCAGCAATTTGTGTGGTGGCTTAATATTGTGCTCCCATCACTCAGAAGACCGGTCTTGGAGGGTCGTGAATTTGAGGCCAATAACAGTTTGAAGACTGCAAAAACAAACAAAACCAGGAAATTTGTTTAGAGCTGCCCAGTGTTGTTGGGCAGTCTCTGCATGGTCTAGAGTTGCTTTTTCTGCACACCTTGGAATGCTCAAGCTTGATGAATTGAGGCTAGACATGTTTTAGCAGAGGTTTTTGTGACTTTATTATTTAAATCTGGATATCAGTTAATTGGGGTGTGCAAGGTAGATTTTTGCCAATAAGCAGCAGGTGTCTTGAGCAAGATTCTGGCCTTTTTGAGAGCCTGTTTGATAACCAGATACCATCATCATTGGCTTTCTCCTATGTCACAGTGTAGTGACAGGTCAGTGACTGTCAAAGGGCTTCAATCCCACCCGGGAAACACCAGAGCTCATGACCTGCTGATCTGAGCAGTCAGCGCCACCATTTAGAAGGCAGCACCTCAGAGGATGGATGGGCTTTCCTGAGCTCCTCCTTGCCCCAGGCCATTCATAGTCCCTGGAGGAGTATGATGGCACTTTACTAATAGGTTCAAAAGCCCATGGGGTGGAAAAGTGGGAAAGTATTCTCACATCACTTTGCTTTCACACCACCCTACAGATTCAGGACTTCACAGAAAACGGAGCCAGAACACGTAAACTATCTTTCAGTCACCCAGTGCCTTCGAGGCCTCTGGGAAGCAAGACCTCTCCTACTTTCTTCTTTGCCGAGGGCTGGCAAAGTCAGCAGTCTAGATGGGGTCGGAGTCTACTGTGGAGCATCACAGCAAACAACCTCTGAGGCATTTCCCAATGCCCTGTTCATCCTGTCCCTCGGTTAGTTATCTTTACTTCCCCCAACCTCATTCTGGGATAGATTTGAGAAACAGTTGAGTATGGGTTGTCAGTGCAGGACTCCTGCAGACGGCCTTAAGCACACCATCCACTGGACACTCTGCTGGGTCCCCAGAGGCCACGCTTGTCCAGTGTCCAGCTCTGTCTGGCACCCAGGACACCCGCTGTCCCTCAGCAAACCCTGCTTAAGTGGTGTCCAGCATCTTTACTCACCTGGCCCCCTTCCTCCTCCACCTGCACACTCCTCCTCTGCACCGTCTCTCAGGCTGTCCTCCCTGCATGGACCCACCTGGCTCTCCTTTCCAAGTCCCACCTGTTTCCCGGACACCTTCTGCTTACTCCACTCTCTCCAATCACTTGTACACCACACTCAAACCTGTGGGTGAGCCCTTCCCTGTGCCTCCCTTATTCCATGACCAAAGACTGCTGAATCCATAGGAAAAGGGAAGGAGGCTCACAGGCTGGGGCAGCTGCCATTTCCTGTGCCTTTATTGCCCCTTTGTGGTGGTTTGCATGTAGTACATTGCTTCTGCGTGCAGGAGCTCTAATGGCCACCAGCAACTGTCTCCAGATTGAAGGTGGTCAGGAAAACACTCTTAGGTTTGGTTTGTTGTACAGAACTTCAGCGTAGTTTTGTGTTCTGATCCTCGTACAGGTGCTTAGCCTCAACCAATGGCTTCCTAAAAACATTAATTAATGGGAGGTGATAAAGAAGTTTTGATGCTGGGTGAGACTTTAGTGTTGTTTGTGATAACCAAAAGGTGGGTGAGTTAATACCCAGTCATGACAAGAGACAGTTTCTTTCCTTTATACTGTGTCCCCACAGTTCCTTCAGCTTGGCAATGTCCGATTGAGCAGACGACAGGGCCCCTTTCATCTCTGGGGTCTGTGGTCAGAGACTTAATCTGCTATCCTGGGAAGCCTCAAACCTGCTTAATGGGCTTCCTATGCTTAGGGAAACTGAGGAATGAGAGGGAAGGAGAGGAGTAGGAAAGCGATTGAGGCAATAGGAGGATATGGTCATGGGAGATGGAGAAACAGAAGAAAGAGAGGGAGAGGTAGTTACATTTAGTGGCAGAGAGTAGGTTCTCACAATATAGGCTCAGGAGGGGGAATTCATTAGAAGGAGATTCTCAGATAATCTCTGATGCCCAGGGCCATTTCTCATGGTTCTCATACCCTCCCGGGTACTTTTCAAGGCTTGTCATGGTTCTAGAGAGCCTCATATACACTTGGTAAGAAGGAGGAAGATGAAGGGAGGCAAGACTCTGCCATCGAGGAACACACAATGTTTCGGGGCTGTGCTGTACCCACTGACAACCAGAGTAAGCAACACCAGCGGAGGAGGAGGGTTTGGATTTCCTAAGACTATGAGCAAGATGCTGCCTGTGACCTGGTGCTGAGGCACTCTAGGTCAGTCATGGAGTGCTTGGGCCCACCGACGCAGGAGTGAGAGTGTTTCTGTTCTCACTACGGCCTTAATTGGATATAGAAAGGAAAGCTGGGAGCCAGATTGACCAAAGGACACCTTTTCCAGATTAGGCATTAAAGTTTTTATTGTTCTTTTCTTTGAGCTCCATGAAGCAATGGAAATTTTCTCACACAGGAGGGAAAATGGAAGCTCCGATGAAATTCTAAGTTACGGGAGGCCCTAGGCAGTTCAGCACTAGCAACCGAGCCTTTGGTTATAGCAGCCGAGGCACAGCCTTTGTGTTGTGGGCAGAAGTGTTTAGGGCAGAAGGTTTGCAGCTGGGCCGTTGACTGACAAGGCTTCTGGTGACCTGAAGACAAGTTGGCCAGTGTGTCGAAGAGTTGGGTCCGAAGGACCTGACTGCACCCAGGGTCACGTCCCTGCCAATATCACGTCACTGAGTTTTTGTGTTTGGTGCCCCCTTGTGCTGCTCCACTAGTGACCCAATCCACTCAGAAGTTTTCTCCCTGGCTTCCTCCCAGCTGACAGGGGGCTCATAGTCCAGATCTCTCTGAGCTTTCTTGTAGGAGAAGGTGAACACACTATTTAATATTGTGACCAAGTGGCGGTTAAAGGGAGGCCTGTAATTGAAGATTGGACGCAGCAGGAAGCTCACAGCTTCCAATAGGAAGGCAAGCCAGTACAGCACCGGCAGAGGAGGGCTCCAACGGGAATCAAGGCGGAGGCCCCAGTTCTTGCTCAGGTTGTAATATAAATCAACATAGCTTTGGTGAGGGGTGTCATCTGTGATGTAGTAGAACTGTCCTTGAATGTTTGGTGACTTCTTGGGATCTTGTAGGCCCCTGGCAGCCAGAATGTGTGCCCAGGCTGCATTACTCACATACACTGGGTTGGTCAAAGAGAATTTGCCAAAATTGTTAATTATACCATTGTTCTTGAGTGCTGTGTCCACACTAGCTGCAATGAATTTGTCTTTTTCCCCATAGATGAATGGGAATCTTAAGGCACAAGTGTGGAAAGTGCCACCATCTTTCAGGGTGGACCCATTGGCTGCCAGCACTGCCTTCTCTGCCAACTTTTTGCTGTATGGGTATGGATCAGGCCATGTGCTTTCATGATTATCTTCCTCACAGCCATTCCGGATGATCACCTTGTAGGAGTTAGGTCCAGCCACAGCCACTGAGCTGCTGTAGATGAAGATGGGAACACTGGCTTCCACACAAGCATCCAACAGGTGCTGAGTACCTGCTCAAGGAAGCTCACCATTACTGTTAGTTAGGAAGTAAGCCAAAGGGCCCCACTGTGGCTGTGGAATAGGGTTCATCTCCATCTCAACCCCAATGGAAGGACTCTTTCAGATCTAAATGACTCAAATTGCCATTCTATAGCCACAGAATAACCCCCAAATTAAAAGAGGTGACATGGGGATTCTGGAAAACAGTGATTTCTAAGTTTCTGCGTTTATAGAGTCCTCTCCCTCCTCCTCTTCTCTGTTTCTCTGTGTGTTTGCATATAATTACTTTTCTTTTCAGTGTTAGGGATCAAACCTAGGGTCTTATACATGTCCACTAAGCCACTGTCCAGGTTGGCTTTCTGTTGCTGTGATAAAAACCATGACCAAAGCAAGTTGGGGAGGAAAGAGTTTATATGGCTAATACGTTCCAATCACAGTTCATCACTAAGAAAGTCAGAAACAAAGGCAGAAACCATGGAGGAATGCTATTTACTACTTTGCTTTCCGTGCTCAGCTTGCTTACCTATATAATGCAGGACCACCTGCTCAGGAGTGACAGCTCACAGTGGGCGGGGCCCTCCCATATTAATCATTAACCAAGAAAATAACTCACAGATTTACCCACAGGCCATTGTGAGCTAAGCAATTCCTCAGGTGAGGTTCCCTCTTTTCAGGTGACTGCTATGTATCAAGCAGCCAAAAATCGAAAATAAACATCTTTATTCTGGAGAGTTCTCCACTAGATCTTTATTCTGGAAAATTATTCCTTTATGTTTTCTAAAAACAGACATCAGTTAATTACCATTTGGTTTGGGAATGTTGCTCAGTGGTTCAGCCTTTGCCTTGTGTGCAAGGTTTGATCTCCAGAAACAACACAACATCAAAAAGAGTCCCCCCCCCCAATAAAAGCAAACAGTTCATGAATTTCATTTCATTAAAGGAAGATCAGTTTTTAATCCAAAAATTCAAGATACCATATTCTCAGAAGCAGTTTAGACATTACAACATGCCCACTCAGGTATAGTATAGTTGCAATATATGTTTTTATTTTACTTGTTTTTAGATAGAGTCAGTACTGTGTAGTCCAGATTGGGCTCAAATGTATGATCTTCCAGACTCAGCCTCCCGAGTGCTAGGATTATAGATAGGCACCACTACATTTGGGGATGCAGTAAGCACTCACAATTAGATATTAAAGGCTGTCACTCACCTCTCCCCATTTAGTAAAGAGAGATACAGAACTGAGAATCTGAGTATTCAAAGCAGCAAAGTGCAATGCAGGGTATGAGAGAAACAACTATGTAGGACTAAAAGGAACCCCTTAGAGTTGGTAATGGCCATCTCCAAATAATTAGTGATTTGGAAAAGGAGCCTGTGTCACTAAATTTGGAGGTCATGTGGGGATACATGCCAGGCAGGACCTTGGAGTACACTGGCACTAAGAAGTGACTTGGGGTGGGGAGCAGAGTAACCATGTTACAGAGAAAGTCCTTTATTAAAGTACATTGGAAATCTACTTTCAGAGGCATGAAGCATTCAGGGTTGGGACTCTGAGAAGGAAACTGCACCCTGGCTAGGACCAGTCTTCAAGAGCAGACTGATGCTGATCTGAAGAGATGGTGTGGAAAATGGAAAACCATTGCTGTTAAGAAAGGAAGTACTGGGTCATCTTTCCAGGAAGACCTCTGTGGAGCAAAGGTTAAGGTTTGGTCCAGAGAGGCAGCAAGTGAATGGACATCAAGCATTTGCAGATGGAGTCCACTCCTTTTGGCCTGGAGGAGCAGGAGAACTTTCCTGGAAGCTGGAGTGTCATGGGTGTGGCTTTATATCTTTTCTATGCTTCTGACTACCTGTGGAGACATTTTGTGTGTGTGTGTGTGTGTGTGTCCGTGTGTCCCGCTCTCAGTCTGGTTTCTTTTTCTAAACATCAAGAACAACAGCCTCGAGTTCTGTTAGCTGGGCTGGCAAGCAGAGGTATTTGGCGACCCAGAGCACAGCAAGTGCTCCACGATTGGCATTTCCCTTCCCGTCCTCATGCTGTTTGGCCACTCTAATTTTCCCTCTCATCCATATCTTCCTGAGTTACTTACTGTACCTTTCAGGTTGATGTCTATCACAGTCTGTCTGGGAATGGCACCCAAGACGTCAATGGCAGCAGCGGTGTGGATGACAACAGAGATGCCCTGGCAGGCTCTCCTCACGCACTGGGCATCCAGAATGTCTCCCTCCAGCACTGTCACCTTGGTCTTTGTCTGCAGCTCTGAGGAACACAAAGCAGATCATGGGGAAGCTTTCTGCACAGGATGGAAGTTTCCTTCCTTCAAGGGCAGTCAGAGTGAGGAGATCCTGGGGAGGAGGCCTTTCTCCTGAAGGAACAATAAATGCACAGCAATCACGATGTAATATTAGTAGGGAAGGAGCAAGTGTCCACTTCTACCCCATGAATCTGAGCAGCAAGATATCATTCGTGCTTTGTACATGAAAGTAGAGTTATGGAAACTCATAGACCCTTTAGAGTGACCAGAGAGGTTGTGGAAGTCAAATGTAGAAAGGGAGAATTAGGATTTAATTGATGGAGAATGGGGAATCACTTGTGGGTCTGGACTGAAGGAGAAGCAGAGGCAGAGTCCTTCCATGGGAAGCTGTAACAGAGGTCTCGGGTTGCAAATGTACAGGTATGAAGACAGGAGAGTAACCTGGGCAAGCAACAGGATACTCGTGTCTTCTAGAGTTCCAGTGAGGAGGACCCAGAAGAAGGAGACACAAAGACGGAAAATTCAGTCCTGCCCCGATAGGTCTTGGTGCTTTCTGGGTCTGTGCTGAGTACAAATGAAGATCTCACTCAGTTAATTACAAGAGAAAACTCCAGAAGCTGTGAGAGAACTCAGAATGGACCCCAGTGATGGGTTTAGGTGAGCATTTCTTATAAATGATGTGGCCTCCAAGGGACCATATTATAACCACGAGCAATGCTTTTCTTCCATTTCCTCTCAAATTTATAGGATGATACTAGCAATCACAATGTCACTGAAGTCAGCTCAGAAAATTTATAGTGTACCACACTCAGTCTGTCCCACACTGGCTTGAGCTTCATAATTTGCACACAACTTGCTCAGTTTGCTCTGTCCTTTCCCAGCTATCTCAGGAAGTTGGGATTCTGGTATCCCTGGAACAGGTTGGGGAAAGTACAGAAAGCTCCAGGGACATGACTAAAGACACACATCTTTCCAATGAATACCCCATTGTCCTTCTGCCTACATCAAACCTATGTGTACTTCTCTATGCACCCGAAGAGCAAGGCGAGTTTGGAATGAACTCTTTTGAGACAATCCAGTCAACTGAATTTGCAGTGAGTGAATGCCAGAGAATTCTTTGATAGAAGCAGAAGTAGAAATTCTGAGCTGGAGAAATCCCTCTTGGGATAGATTACAACCTCTGCTGAATGTGTCTACTCTAGGTCCCTCTTCCCTGTCAGGCAACCCCAAGAAGGCCTTGAAGTAGAGAAGGATGAGGCAATGCTTTTGGGAAGGAGGTACCCGGATGTGAATCTCTTTCTGTACGGTTTGCTGCTGACTGTAGACAAAGGAGTTGCTGTGAGAGGGGAGGAGGAGCCCAGATACAGGATGAAGTAGACTCGCACATCAGTTCTTTGGAGAGGGGTTCCTGAGACACCAGGAAGGGACACTGTGAGTGCTTTGTGGTAGAGCCACATCTCTCACCTTATCCAAGACACCATGGACTTGGAAATTGTTCTTCACTGCCACATCATGGAGCTGACATCATGCTGTGATCTGCAGTAGGAGATCCAGAGAGAAACTACCACACTCCAGCCTTTAAAGGGACAGAGGCTACCACTGACCTCCTGGACCTCTACCCTTCTTTGTCTTATTTTAGCTGTGGGAATCTGAGGAAATCAGTAAACATCTGTGTTGTCTCCATGTCTGTGGAATCAGAAGTCAAAGTTCCCTTTGTTTTGGGATCCCATCAGGGCTGGGATATAGATTTTCCACCATCAAGATGTCTCTGACACAGGGCACTGGAAGGATTCTCTACTCTTACTGAGGGGAGGGAGCCTCAATTGAGAAAAAAAAAAAAAGCCCCTATAAGATCAGGCTGCAGGTAAGCCTGTGGGGACATTTTCACCATTGTGATCAATGTGAGAGGGTCCAGTCCTTCGTGGGTAGTGCCATTCTTGTGCGCTATAAGAAAGCAGGCTGAGCAAGCCATGAGAGAAACCAGTAACTGTACTCCTTCATGACCTCTGCATCAGCGCGTGCCTCCAGATTCCTGTCCTGTTTAAGTCCTTGGCCTGATTTCTTTGGATGACAAAGATGATATGGAAGTTTGAGCCAAATAAACTCTTTCCTCCCCAGGTTGTTTGTACTCAGGGTGCTTCATCACAGCAATAGTAATCCTTACTAACATTCTTTAAGTTATTTATTTCATTTTGTTTGATTGTTTTGAGGCAGGGTGTCTAGGTTATTTCTAAGGAAGTTAAAATAGTAAAACATGAGGTGGAAATTTGAGGTTTGTAATTTTCTTTTGGCATTTTGTTGTATTAACAAAGATAAACAACTAAGTATGGGAGGGAAGTGTGACATGTTTTATAAGGATTTATGAGGATAATTACAAAATTGGAAAATGAATTGAGAAGAAGGCAGAAGGTAGGTTTGTTGTTGTTGTTTCTTTCTTGTTTGTTTGTTTCCCTACAGATAGTGATGATTCCAAATTAGGAAAGAGTAAGACCCAGGATAGAGGAAACAGTTGGACTAGTTGTGAATGGTTTGAGAAAGCTACAGAAGAATTTCAGAAAGACACAGGGCATTTTGTAGGAGGCACAGAGGTCCTTGAGCCTACAGATAATCACTAGGGGACGCTTCAAGGGAAGGAATGGATAACAAGTTGTCTTCCCAGAAGGCTGGGAATGGATGTGCTTTCTAGTCTAGGGACTTTTGCACAATCTGTGAGTCTGAAGATCATGCTGGACCCTCTCCCAGGCCCTTATCATAAGGTTGTTTTTTTACTCAGTCGATCTATAGAACCCATCTTAATGTAAGGTTATCACATGTACTTTACAAAGAGTTTCAATGAAGTCCTGTCTGATACTTACTTAGCATACTTTTTTTCTTAAGGTTTATGCTTGCTTCATTGCACACAAGGGATTGAGTTAATTATCGGCAGCAACGTTTTGCTGACTTGTGCTGTGCTTGAATACATTAACATTAAACCATTCAGGGTCAGACTCTGGAAACTTGAATCAACACCAGTACTGAGCTGCCTTCTTGCCTCCCAAAGATTGTTACCCTATTAACAATTGGTGGCCAAAGAGACCCCTGCAACTTCTGGGACGGATGCCCCAGAGATCAAACAGTATGTAGACAATGAACAGAGATCAAGGCACATTGGCACCTAAATAACTTTTGATTCTCCATGTTTAAGTTGGGGATCCCCCCCCCCCCAGTAAACAAAAAGGCCTAGGGTTAAATCCTCAATACTGAGAAGAGCAAAACAACTGAAAGACTTTTGCATCTGACCTTAGTAGAGAACTATGGCCTTATCCCCATCTCTTTGGTATAGGTTGGCCACACAGAGTTTGATATCTCCTGTGTCTGTAATTTTTTTGTGTTGTTTTGTAATTTTTACCAACTACTTTATCCTTTTATATATTTTTAAAACTAAAAATGAAATGTTTTCCATTTACTACTGACTTTGGGATTTCGGAATGTCCTGGAAGCCCAATAAATCTATGTGTTAGACCTGTATTTTCAAATATGCATTTGTGTATGTTCCAAGGTTGTATAAGATATCCAAAAGTATGACATGTTTGAATGTGTGATTTATTATCAGTTGTTTTTCTAGTATAATATTACTACATGATTTAAAAAATAACAAATTAATTTTTTCCTAATTTCTTTAGGGAAAAAATGGAATTGCATTAAAAATGTGGTTTTTAACTCAAAACCACCATGCAAATGGACTTGTGTGTGTGTGTGTGTGTGTGTGTGTGTGTGTGGTTTTCCTTTTAAAACTGCTCTACTTTATTTAAATGAAACAGCTAAGGGATTTGGGTATGGTTAAACATCGTTGTGAGTTTGTGTTTGGTGTCTCCTAGTGATAGCTCAGCTGTTACTGTTGCAACCAGCTGCCTGGGCTCAGAATTTGCCTCTGGGCTTTCTGGCCCCTGAATCTAATGTAAAAACAGAGATTCATGTGTCATTTTGGTATAAATGATATTAAAGATTTTAAAGCTATTCTACTTTACTAAAAAACAATAAGGGAATTGGATATAGTTAAAAATCTGTAATAAAAAGTTAACTTAAAAATTGTAACTCTAGGAGGCTGGAGTGCAGGCATAAATGCAGGCAGAAAACTGTATACATAATAAATACATAAATCTTAAAAAAACAAACAAACTTGTAACTCTAAATTGGAGCTGTTCTAGGAAACAACGCATGGTTTGCCACCATCTTAACTAAAGTAAGTACAGCCTTGATGAGCCTCGTAGCCATCTTTGCTAGCATAGGGGAAGAGGGAGGTCACGTGACTTCACTGCCATCTTGATTAAAGGTGACCACAGAGAATGGGCCTACCAAGGAGGCAACAACAGGTCTCCAAGATATTTTGGGTTAGGATGTATATTTGTATGATAATTCCTGTCCTGTGGTGAAAACAAGGCTTATGAAAGACGAGATTTAAAACAATGCTGGTTTAATGAGATATTAAAGCAAGACAGACATTCCTAAACTGCTTTTTGTTAGGCAGAACAGACCTTAGGGCAGGAGAGACCCTTTAGCAGACTTCTCATGTTGTTCTCTTAGTGGCATACCTTGGCAGGCCCACATGAAGGTACCCACTCCCCCCCCCTTTTTTTTTCTTGTTTGGAGATTCTCTGAGTGGGCAGGGTTTGGAGACAGAGAGAGAGAGAGAGAGAGAGAGAGAGAGAGAGAGAGAGAGAGAGAGAGAGAGAGGAGTGGGGCTTCTTAGACCCTGCAGTGACCAGCTGGAGGTTTCAACAAAACAAAACCCTTGCAACTGTTGTGTGTCAAAACTCTGAGGACTATTACTTTTAATACAGCAATACTGGCCCAGTGTCTTGAGATGCTATTCATTTCTATAAAATAGATAAAATTAAATTTGACAGTAGATCCCAAGTAAGTGTAGTCTGAAAACCACTCTTTCTGACCCTCTTGGTTGCCCAAGTGTGTCTGAAAGTGTCTAGACAGAGTGCTGTGGTTTGAATGTGAGTGGCCCCCACAGGTTCATATTGTTGAATACTTGGTCCCCAGTGAGTGGACAGGTTGGGAGGTGTAGCTGTTTTGGAGGAGGTGTGTCACTGGGGGTGGCTTTTGAGGCTTCAAAAGACTTAGTTCTCTTGGCTTGTGGGTCAAGACATGGACCCTTAGCTACTGCTATATCACCATGCCTGCCTACTGGCTGCCCTGTTCTCTGCCACGTTGGTCATTAGCTCTAACCTTCTGAAACTGTAAGTCTTCAGCAATCACTTTCTTCTCTAAGTTACTTGGTCATGGTGTCTTATTCCAGAAATATAAGTAAAGATAGGCCTCAGTCACCTTCCTTCTTCAAAGGACCATGTCAGACCAGCTCCAGGGATAGATTCATCTTGGGAAGGAAGGACAATCAAAATCAAACTATAGGATGTATGACAAGTGATTTTATCCAGACTCTCTCTGATAAAGGCAAGGGATCCAAGCAAATGGGTATAAGTAAGCTCTGGAGAGTATGGAGGAAGAGATATATTTATAATGGCCTCACACTAGGAGCAGGGATAAGAACATGAAACAGTTGGGAAGCTGCACTATCAATCCAGTGCTTACACTTGGCCTGGGGATGGGGTAGAGATAGCAGGAAAAAAAGATAAAGTTTCCAGCAAAATCTGTAGTCACTTTCTTTGAGGGTGAAGGACAGAGGACAGAAATGATGGGAAAGACATTGGAGGAATCCCCCATGGCATATATGAAGTCCATGTGTCCGTGGGTATGTTTCTATCCCATGTATATGTTCTCTAATCACTCATTACTCCCCCTCACTACCCACTTTATAAGTTTACCTTTGCATTATAATCACTTCCTGCTATGGACTTCACTCTCCCCTGGTCTTAAACAAAAAGAACCTACAAAGCCAATTGGAAGGCTCAAAAGAGGCAGGGACCCACTGCTAAGGTCACTAATATAATAATATTTTGCTAGTGTTGCATAATATTGCCATGGTCAGATAATGGAAGACACAAAAGCTTCCAGAAAGGAGAAAACCTATGTGCAATGTCCAAATAGGAGGGAGGCCTGAATGCCCAGGGCCTACCCACGGCCATGCTCTCTAGTTCTGGGCCAAGCCAGTCTACTTTTTCTAACTATGCAGTGCCTTTTATGCTGTGCCAGCCGTGATCATCCCTGTTGAGCCTCTTTACAGGTCCACCTGGTTTTTATTTGGTGTCAAGGAAGCCCTCCCCATACCCAGTCCGTGCTCAACAGTTCCTATGTCACTTACTGGATAATTCTTCTCTGTGTTTTGGGGTGAAGGACCTGAACAAGGCTCTGATCTCCTGAAGCCCTTTCTCCTGAGCCAACAATCGGATGATCCTCTGGCCCAGAAACCCTCCTGCTCCTGTCACCAGGCAGCTCCACCCAGGCATGGCCAACACAGGAAGTGGATCTCAGTGGGAGCAGGTTTGATGTAATATCACCCTGGGGAGTGCTAGGAAAAGAAATGCAATGGGTACAGAGTTAATGGAATTCCTACTATGATGATATAGTAGAAAAAAATGTTCTCAGAGTGTTTCTTGAACATTTCCCTCATAACATCACTTCTGTGACCCCAAAATGTGTGGGTCTTCTTTAAAAAACAAAGCAAAACAAACAAATAAGCAAACAAGCACACACACACACACACACACACACACACACACACACACACACACACACACACACACACAAGCAAATGATCAATTCTTCAGCAGACACCAGATGTGCAGCTTCTAATTCAGGTCAGCTCTAATATCCAGACACTGTCAGATCTCACAATGTCAGGCTATGCCCCAAGGTTGTCCCTCTCCCATTAGATGTCACTTCCGAGCCCCAGGCTGTCTTACCTGTGCTTCTAAAAAACCACACACACACACACACACACACACACACACACACACACACACACACACACTGGGGTCCTAAAACCCCCTCATTGCATATGGTTAGCTTACACTGGCTAGCTTCCTATGAAGGATACTACAAAGGATACTGCAAAAGACATGGAGGAAGAGGTGCACAAGCTGAGGAATGAAAAATGGGAACAAGGCTTCTATAATCTTGTCTGTACCAACTTCCAAGAATGTCTAACTGTTCATCTACCCAGAAGCTTATGAGGCTGGGCCCTCCTGCATAAATTAATGATCAAGACAATGGCCCACAGGTCAATCTGATGTAGGAAATTCTTCAAGGGTTGAGGTTTTCTGTTTTCTGATGACTCTAGGTTATGTTGTGTATAACCAAGGCTGATCAAACATGGCTGAAGGGTATTTGAGTATTCTCTCAATGCATTAGCTGTAACGATCCTTGTCATTGTTTTTATAAACTCTTTGCCCCAACTTCTCTAAGCAGTGCAGTTAGCTGCAGAGCATGCATATGCTCTCCTGAAAGACCTCTCATTACCTATTGGAATAAGCAGCTTCTGATCATTTGTTTGTTGGTTTGTTTGATTAGGTTGACAACAGTAGGTGAACAAATCACCTTATGGTAGAAACTCTCCAAGGTTTGTCTAATCTATACCCTATAGACCTATGTGGGCAAGGATATCTATGAAAGCAGCCCAACACAAAGTTGAGAATTTACATAGAACATTATGAATAGCTCATCCCATTTTTTTTATTATTCCACTATGAGGTTCTTTATCATGAACTGTAAGGAGTAGTTTTTCCCTGCCACCGGGAGGCGCCAGCCCCAAATAACACACAGAGATTCTGTATTTGATATAATGCTGTTGGCCAGGTACTAGTTTCTTATCAGCTAGCTCTCTTAATTATTAACCCATTTCTATTAATCTAAGTACTTCCACGTGGTCTTATCTTACCAGAGAGAGAGGCTCTCTCTGTCTTCCATCTTGACTCCCCCTTACTACTTCCTAGAATGCTCCTTGTCTTCTAGTCCCGCCTATCTTGCTTTCCTATTGGCTAACAGTGCTTTATTCATTAACCAGTATGAGAAACATATTTACAGAATAATATCTCCCATCATCTCCTCTTTTCTGTCTACATAAAAATGGTTTTAACCTTAACATAGAAAATATATGACACAAGAGTTATAAAATAAGAATCACAGTTAACAATATTTAGTCCATTAACATTTAGCAAGATTTGAAGAAAATATTTCATCATCTATCCTTTGTGTGTCTAAAGTCTAAGTAACTTATCTTTAATTCTAAGGTAAACCATAACCATAACTATTTGTCTTCAATTCCCTCAAAGACCACAGAAGAATAATATATAAACTCTAGAAATGACATAGACAACTCATTGCCTGGTCAGTCACCGGAAGTTCTTCTGTAATGTTCCATCTTCAGCCCATAGGCCATAGTGTGTCTGGCAGACTCTTCAGCAAAGCAGGAAAGTTTAAACTGTCTGCCTGTGTTGGCAGTTTTTCAGTCACTTTTCTCTATGTCCTGCAGACTGTCTGGCAGACTCTTCATGAAGCAGGAACCCTGTAGCAATGTCCATCTTGAATCAGCAGTCACTTTTCTGTGGGTCCTGCATGTCCAATTTATACAGCATAACATCAAACAGTCCAGATAAGAGCAGTATCTTGTCCAAATGGCTGGTCTTGCCATATTGGAGGCAAACTCCATAACGTGTTTCTTTAATGTCCATCCTTCTTTCTGACACAGGTGGTGTTGCCAGGAGCAGTTATGTCTCACTGTCAAGAAAAACCCTAAACCATTTTAAATGCCATGTTCTGTAGGTCTTTGAAAGGTTTGAAGAATGCCTATCCATCTCAAATATATCTCTATATATCTAGAAAACCTAATTCACCTGACTATCATAGTATTTATCTATAGTCTGTACTACATTATACATTATTTTTATATGAGCTATATAAACACAATGCCTGAACAAGAGGAAAAATATACACATTACAAAATTGACCTTAAATTGTATCAATAAATGAAAATCCATTCCAAAACAAAGTATTCATATCTATATCATAATCCTCTTTTTACCTTTAAAAAGATATTTGTTGTGATCATTAACCATTTATAACCAACCCCATTTAAATGAAAACAAACATTTATAAACAATATTTGCGAATTTGGGTGTCATTCTTTCCAAACTACTTCCTGCAGGTAAAAGGCGCTGTCATGGGGGATTCTAAGATGCAGAAATCCAGGCTGTAGTCTGCATGCAAGGCTGCTTTGTCCAGCTGTGTTGAATGTAGGATCACCTGGTACTCTGTTTCAGGGGGTCTGGTTTGCTCAAACCACATTAGTCTGGAAGGAATCCACAGCTTTTCATTTTCTGTGGAAACAAAAATAGAAATCCTTTTCCCCAGTAACTTGTCCTTGGATTCAAATTTCTGAGTCAAAGCATTTTCAAAATATATAAATTGAATTAATCCAGCAGCATTTTTTTAACAGTTGTTTTTTCAGCAGTCAAATGATATAAAGACAATATAATGCCATACAGTATCCATATTCTCTCCATCTTTACATGGCTTTTTTATTATTTTTTTTTAACTTTTATTTATTTATTTATTTTATTTTTTGAGGCAGGGTTTCTTTGTGTAACTTTTATCTGTTCTGGAATTTACTCTGCATACCAGGTTTACTTTGCAATCACAGAGATCTGCTTGCCTCTGTCTCCCGAGTGCTGTGATTAAAGGTATGTGCCACCATACCCAGCTGTTCTCTGTCTTTTTAAAACAGTTTTATTTTATTTGTTCTCTCCCAAGCCTACGTATATTTTAGAACACACTGTAAACCTTTAGCGCTTTTTCTTAATGTGAATCTGTCTTTACTGTAAATCTTTATCTTTTTCTGGCCACAAGTCTTTTATCTGGTAAACAACAACATTGCTAAAATGAAAGTCATTAGCTGTGTTAGCTGCGGTCTATCCAAGATGGTGGTGGCTATTTTACTGCCAGCACTGAGAGCTGTGCTCATAGCCTTGGTCTACGCTGCCATCCAGCAGCATACTGCTGGGTTGGAGATGTGGTCACTGCCATTGCCAGCTCTCAAATACACCAGTGAATCATTAGCAGAGTTTTAAAAGCTGTGCGTTTTTTTTGTTTTGTTTTGTTTTTTGTTTTTTTTTTTTTTTGCCGCTTAAGCTGAGTTAGGATAATTCTCCCTTAATTCTCAGGATTTCCTTACTGTCTGTTGTTATGTTTTCTTTTCAGGTATAATTTTGTTAATTTAGATATTCTTTCTTTTTCCTTTTAGTTAATTTACATAAGGATTTGTATATCTTACTGCTTTTCTCAAAGAACTAGCTCTTTGTTTCATTGATTCTTGTATTTTTTCTATATTATTTATTTCAGTTCTGAGTTTGATTATTTCTATCTACCAATTTAGTTATATTTCTTCTTTTTGCTCTAGAGCTTTCAGGTATGCTATTAAGTTACTAGTATGAGATCTGTGTGTGTGTGTTTTTTTTTTTTTTTAATGAAGGCGGTTAGTGCTATGAACTTGCTTCTTAGAATAGTTTCATTGTGTCCCATAAGTTTGGGTATGTTGTGTTTTCATTCAATTCTAAAAAGTTTTTAATTTCTTTCTTATTTCTGTCTTGACCCATTTTTCATACAGCAGAGAGTTACTTAGTTTCCATGAGTTTGTATGCTGTTGTTGTTATCCAGTTTTACTATGTGATGGTCTATCTAGCCTATCTAGGAGGCAAGGTGTCAGTTCAAGAATTTTCTTTTTTCTTTTTTCTATTCTTTTTTTTTGTATCTGTCGAGACTTGGTTTTGTTTAAGTAGGTGGACAATTTTGAAGGAGGTTCCATGTGGTACTGAGGAAAATGTATACTCTTTTTGTGTTTGGATGAAATATTCTGTAAATATCTGTTAGATCCATTTGGTTTATAACATCAGTTACTGAGCATTTCTCTGTTTTTTTGTTTTTTTCCTGCCTGGATGATTTGTCTGTTGGTGAGAGTGGGTTATTAAAGTCTCCCTATCAGTGTGTGAGAGTCAATATGTGATGTAAGCTATAGTAGTGTTTATTTTGAACTTGGGTGACCATCTGCTTAGATGTTAGGAATTATAATATCCTCCTGGTCGATTTTTTCTTTGATGAGTATGTAGTATTCTTCCTTATATCTTCTGATTAGTTTTAGTTTCAAGTCTATTTTGTCAGATATTAAAATGGCTATACCAGCTTGCTTCTTAGGTCCATTTTCTTTTTGTTTATTTTTTTTTCTTTTAGTTTTTTGAGACAGGGTTTCTTTGTATTGCTTTGGAGCCTGTCCTGGAACTAGCTCTTTAGACCAGGCTGGCCTCAAACTCACAGAGTGCCTCTCAAGTGCTGGGACTAAAGGTGTGAGCCTCCAATATCTGGCTCTTAGGTCCATTTTCTTGGAATATTTTTTTCTGTCCTTTTATCCTGAAGTAATGTCTATCCTTGATGTTGAGGTGTGTTTCTTGGATCAGAAGAATAATGGATCCTGTTTTCACATCTATTGTATTAGTCTCTGTCTCTTTATTGAGAGATATC